TTTGAGGAGTTTCACGATGGTAATAAGGAAAACACACAAGGCAGTAGTCCAAACATATCCAACCAAAAGGAAAATACCTCTGCTTTCTGAACCAATGAGGGTTGCAATGTACAACATTGCAGTCATGTTACAATGTCCTTTTAACACTGTGTGAGCGCATTGCAAGAAGTATATTGCATTGTACGTGGGTGTGTTTCAGTGAAGTACATGTATGTAGCCATTGAATTGTATTCACTTGAATTGCATTATAGAATACAGCTTTAATGCATTGCATGCAATTGCATGTTTGGTGTGCATGTTAACAGTATTATTGATGCAAGTCCATTTTCATGGACATAATTGTTTTGCACTATCAATGTATTCAAATTTTGCAAGTCCAGCAAGTTTATATTGATGTGTTTCAAAATATTTACTTCTGCTGTTCTACTGTAGAAAAATATTTTGATTAGATCAAGAAACACCAGTGGTAAGAGATTCTTTCCAAACCATTCATAAACATTTTAAATTTGTTACTGTTAATGATTTCAAGTATTAAATAATATTACTTAATACTTTTACTCCCAGAGTGAATGATGACGTTTTGTACTAAAGGTGGTTCTAACTTTTGAGTTTGTGGACGAAAATATATAGATCCTTCTGTGGGTTTTTAAACTTTTGATTTGTAAACACTTGCAACTTTGAGGAGCTATTAATATCTTCCTAGTTTTTTTAGCAATCACTGTCAAATTTGGCAATTTTATTAATTTAAAGGCGCTCTTTGTGGCCAAGTCAATGGATTTCCCCTAACTTGTTCATGTCAAAAGTTGGAAAAAACTCTGGAAAGGTCTATGTACGGTGTGAGTAGTTTCTCATGATTTGTTGTTAAAAAAGTACTAAATGAATATTATTTTTAAATTTTTTGTCCAATAACTCAAAGAAAAATTAAACCAATAATTTAGACAAGAAATAGTCTAATAATTTAGAGAAAATTTCCTCTTTGGGATTGAAAGGGTTAAGGTGAGTTTTTACTAGGGCCAAAAGGGCAATATAAAATTAATGTAACCTACAGTAAATAAACAAAGTAGATTTATTGTTAAAAGTTAAGCAATTAGAAAAAAAAGGGTAAAAAACTAAAATAGACAATTTAATGCACAGTATTGATATATGGCCAACCTCCTGAATTAGGACAACAGTTGTCACTGGGTCAAGTTTCTGAATTTAGGAGGTACAGTGGAACCCCAATTATATAGAGTACTAAAGTGATGACGTCATAAAAACGAAATTTCTGAAATTATGGGATTTGTCAGGATATTCTGAAAGAACAATGTCCAAGAGGCCTACTTACCAAAAATGAGCATTTCGGGGCAAATTGTCTCTGAGATGTTAGCCGGTTAAACTCAGAAAACTCCATACAAATCCTTCTAATTTTTTTTTGGGTCGACCCCAAAAAAATTTCGAAGGGTTTGTATGGAGTTTTCTAAGCATAACTGGGCTACGATCTCAGGGACAATTTGCCCAGAAATGCTCATTTTTGGCAAATAGGCCTCTTGGGCATTGTTCTTTCAGAATATCCTGACAAATCCCATAATTTCAGAAATTTCATTTTTATGACGTCACACTTTAGTACTCTATAGCGATCCTCCATATAATGATACTATGTCCCCAAAGAAGTTACATTAAAATGTATGGGACAGATCCCTGATAAAATGATCTTCGATAGAGTGATATCCTGAGGTAACAATGAGAATTTAGCAGACCGCATATAAAATCTTTCCGGATAATAATGATATTATCAGTACACAGTCCACTTTGAATTTAATACAACAACATTACAGTAATCAAGTGTTCTTCAATGACTCTGTCAACAGTTTTGCACGATGATATATGAAAATGATACTGTGCCTCTTTATCAACTTAATATCCTCCTTGTCATTCAATTCTATCAGGTTTACCCCAATATAACAATATTTTCGGTTATTTTACGGCCATATTGTTATATTGGGAGTTTCGATATAAAGAATCTTCGATATAACAATATAATTTTACTGCTTCCTTGGTATTTAACAATTTTTCCTCGAGCCTGAATGGGCTCTGAGTCAATAGCCCATGAGGCCGAAGGCTAAATGGACTATTGACTCAGAGGCCATGAGGGCAAGAGGAATAATTGTTTCAGTAACATCCAACTAGTTGGTCAAAAATATTGAGACAAAACAACTAAAAGCAAGACTTTAATCCTTTTTGCCGCCAAAAATTTGGCGCTTTTCGCTACAAGTGGGCTATAACATATAGCCTAGTAGTAGCTCAACCAATCAGAATGCAGCATTGATAATAGATTACTATAGTTGGATTTTACTAATTCGTTATATTGGGGTTCCACGGTATAGATTGTCTGAAGTTAGTGGGAATGGGGAAAGAGGGGTCTGTAATATGGTCAGCAGGGTCCATTAGGA